TTGACAAAATTAGGAGGGGTAAAATGGTGACTTGACAATTTTCTTATTAAATAAATTTAAAAAAACAAAAAAAAACTTGCAATTTCTCCTTCCCGGCAACAATAGTGCCAACGCCACCACCGACACACTGTTGGTACCATCGCCACCACCACCGCCACCGTCGCCTCCTCCCACCACCACCACCACCACGCGGAGAGTGTAGCAGCACATAACACAGCCCACTCATTATTTTTCCACCACAAATTCATTATTTCTCTCGACCTCGCCGCCGCCCTCCACTAGTTTCGAGAAGCCTTCTAGCCCTAACATTCCATCGCCATCAGCATCCAAAGACTGCACCACCATTTTCGCCTCCTCATCCGACATTTCACCACCTACAGCCCTCACACACCCCATCCCCACATTTCCAAAAACAATCCATTGAATTTCCTGAAAAAACCAACCCCAATCCTCGCTGTCGCAGCCGCGCCACCTTCCTTCTCTTCACCTCTACCCACAGCAAGTTCTGCCCATTACAGTCTTTGTTAGTTATTTACAAAAACCTAAAATTAATGGCTTTTGCAGCAAAACAATTCTATTCATCTGCTGCATTTTCTAATCATTTGCAGCGTAAGAATTTGCCTTCCAAACCCCATTTTTCATCATTTATTCCCAATCAAGTTGTTGAGAGAAAATGTGAAAAGCCAAATGTTTTAGCCTGCAAAAAGCGTTTGTACATTTCAGCAGTAACTGGATATATTGGTGAACTAGAGAATTCGAGACCTCGAGACTCTACAATCCAGTGCAATGCGTATGAAGCTCATCGAGCGTAGCCCTCTGTTCTCATGCTGGTTTCTTGGGCTATAAAGAACGAAGGATTGACATGGTTAGTTGGTGCCAGTGATGAGGCGGTGGTCGGTCGGCAACTGCTTGAGAGTGTATTTGATTTTTGGGTGAGAAGATTGGGGAACATTGAAAGAAGAAGATGGGTTTTATTTTTTACTTTTTGTTTTTTTATATTAAAATTATAAATTTACCATTTTACCCCTTATTTATTTGGTCAAATTTATTAAAATTTTAATTTTTGAGTTCATTTAACGGTTTTTTGGGTCAAACTGACGAAAACCGTCAATTTGGACTTGCACTGCGTTTTTTTTTTTTGAAGGTTTGGTACCTGGTTTGGGCAAAGTCTGAAAAAAAGTAAAAGGTTTGATATCGTGGCTACAATTTTCCTTTTTTTTATAATAAAAAGTGACATAATTAAAACGGTGACATAATGTCACTTCTTTTTAACATGTTAGCCGCTTTTATGTCATTTGCCATAATCGGGGTCGAACCTATCCTGCTACTCTAAGGTCAAAGTACACTATATCGTTATCTGTTCGATATTACAATGCATATATTGTTCTAGTAAGGTTTAGAGGAAGGAAGTATCTACTAACCATCTAGTTTCACAAGGCATAGCATAAACAATAATCAAAAGAAGTGACATAATGCCACCTTTTTAACAAAAAGTGACATTATACGTTATTAAGTATGCTTTTCTAAATATGGGTTTTTGTGAAGTTTTGAACATATTTTCTTTACAAAAAGTGACATTATATGTTATTAAGTATACTAATATTGTTGATGTAATTGATCAATATTAGTATTAGTGTTCAAGAATTGCAATATGTTACCTAACTATAACATGTTTGTAGCTTTTAACATGTCAAAAAAAGTGACATAATGAAACATTTTTAACAAAACAGTTACACCGTGTCACCTTTTTAACAAAAAAGTGATATTATGTCACTGGTTGTGGTAATTTGATATTTTATATTCATTCTAAA